GTACTCTGCTATAAACACTATCTCTCTCCTTTGGGGATAAAGCAGAATAACTGACAGACAGCTTTTCCTCCTCTCAGCCTTTTGTTAGCCAGGTACTAGGAAAAGAGATGTTTAAGACATAACCCTACTTCTGAGGAGTTCATAGTCTTGAGTAGAGACAGATGAAAAATTAGGATGTAATTAACTGGGCTTCCCTTGTGGCTCAGATGGTAAAGTGACTGTCTGCAATGTGGGAGGCCTGGGTTCAATCCCTGGGTTGGGAAGATCCCCTGGAGAAGGAAATAGCAACCCCCTCCAGTACTCTTGCCTGGAAAATCGCATGGACAGAGAGGCCTGGTAGGCTACAGTCCATGGGGTCACAAAGAACCAGACATGACTGAGAGACTTCACTTTCACTTTCAATGTGATCAGTGTATATTTTTATGTTATGAAGTATTGGAACTATTTACTTGTTTTTGACTCTTTGGTTCAAAATCATTTGTAGAAGGGAAGGAGCAAAGAATCTCTATATTTAAAAAAATGGGGACACACACATACACATACCCCTGCCCCACCACCAGATCATAATATGATATTTGGAGAATTCATTTTTAATTTGGGGATCACTACCTTGTTTCTGGTAGATTTGTACTTTCTCCTGCCACTTAGGCTTTTAATCTTTTAGTGTGGAAACTAATTTTAGCTTTTGGTTCACTAATTTGTCTTATTAATTGTACCCAGCATTATGAAGCCCTGATAGATCTTAAACTCTGTGTAGCAAATATGTTTTTGATTAGTCTTTCCTGCCTTTTAACTGTTATAACAGAGCCACCTTGCATCTGAAGTCCAGAACCAGCATTTATTCATGTTGAGGTGGGACTGGTGATCATCCACAAGTGACATGGCTATCTGGGACTACCTGTTGGTTGGGACGTTGAAGCTGGAGCTCCAGAGAGTGACTCAGCATAATGCCCTCCTGCTTAAAGGTTATGTGCTGTGCTGTGCTCCGTCCTGTCTGACTCTTCGCAACTCCATGGACTTCAGTCCACCAGGTTCCTCTGTCCATGGGAATTCTCCAGGCCAGAATACCGGAGTGGGTCGCCATGCCCTCCTCCAGGGGATCTTCCCAATTTAGGGATTGAACCCAGGTCTCCCACACTGCAGGTGGAATCTTTACTGTCTGAGCCCCCAGAGAAGCTGGAATATACTGGAGTGGGTAGTCTATTTCTTCTCCGGGGGTTCTTCCTGACCCCAGAACAGAACCAGGGTCTTCCTGCATTCCAGGCAGATTCTTTACCAGCTGAGCTACCAGGGAATTCCTTAACAGGTTTTAAAAGAATATTCTTCTTTTAATAAAATACTACAAATAATCCCTCTTGAAAAGTGTCTATTATCTCACCCTGAGAAAAATGTTTGACTTGCTTTAGCCACTGTGAATTCTAGTCTTTTAACATAATCAAATATGATTAAGAGATTTAGGCCACAACAGATTACAGCTATCAGAAACTATTTGGCTGCAAATATAATATGAATAAAATAATAAACGCTTGTTATTTTGATTAAACTAATTTATGTAGTTTTTTCTGGAATGAATAATGAAGCATTTGTCTCCCAGATAATTCTGTACTGTAGATAATGTGTTAACTCCCACTTTTGACCTAATAATTCATTCTTTTTTTTAGGCTAGTGAAAATTCCTCACTATCAAATTCTCATCAAGTCTGACAGAATTGGGGTATCCTAAGCCTACATTTCCAAAGAGGACATAACAAAATTTATGGAATATGAGGTACAGAATCTTAGGTTAAAAAATACTTCTGCAGGTCTTACTTATTTACACTGAACTCAAGTTAACTGTCAAATAAGAATACTGATAAAAGTAAGGTAAATTGCTACCACCAAAAAATGTAATCTTAGTCACTGGAAATTTGCTTTATGACTTGAGAACTACAACCAGGGCTCTGTAACAACTTTGAAGGGTGGGGTGCGGAGGGATGTGGGAGGGGGAGTCAGGAGGGAGGGGACATATGTACACCTGTGGCTGATTCATGTTGATGTGTGGCAGAAACCAACACAATACTGTAAAGCAATTATCCTTCAACTAAAATAAATTTTAAAAAATGTAATTTTTAGTATGTAGCTGAATGGAGTCCTATTTTATCAGTAATATTCAGAAACCTTATTTTAATAGGATTTCCTTCTAAAAAGGAGCTTGGAACAGAGTGGGTGGGTCTGTTTCAGTTCAGTTCAGTTCAGTTTCTCAGTCGTGTCCAGCTCTTTGCGATCCCACGGACTGCAGCACGCCAGGCTTCCCTGTCCATCGCCAACTCCCATAGCTTACTCAAACTCACGTCCGTCCATCGAGTCAATGATGCCATCCAACCATCTCATCCTCTGTCATCCCCTTCTCCTCCTGCCTTCAATCTTTCCCAGCAACAGGGTTTTTTCAAGTGAGTCAGTTCTTCGCATCAGGTGACCGAAGTATTGGAATTTCAGCTTCAGCATCAGGTCTGTTTCAAATATTCTAATTAGAAAGAAATCTTTCAGAAAACAGCAATTATAATTTTTTGCTTTCTTGATTTTCTTTAAAAGGAAGTAAAGCATTAAGTTCAGTATAGGTTATTCTAGTAGGCTTTGTGGCATAGATCCCCTGAATAATTCATTGTGAGATTCCAGTATCTGCCACGTGTCAGAAATTAAATTGCTATTAACTGACAACTAAATTTGATACTCTTAAAGTGCACAGGTCATACATAAACCAGTCCAATCATTGAAGGATCTCTGCTCTTACATACTGTATACAATTGTAGGACTGCCCATTTTACAGGATTTTTTTGGGAAGCAATATCTGAAAAAATGCCTGTGAATCCTAAAAAATGCATGCCAACTTAAAATTTGTTTTTAGGTATTGATATTTCTTGCTAAGTTGAAAGCCTTCTGGAAAAAAAAAAAGAGAAAAAAAAAATCTTTCCTGATGAAAAAACATATGGAACCATATATGGAACCAAAAATGTAATGTAGCCATGGTTAAGAAAAATCACTCCGTGATTAAATTTTACTGAGTATTAACAAATTTTTTCTTGATGTAGACTCAGTTGTACATTTTTACTCAAGTGGATAAATAAATGCTTAGATATAATTTATTTAACTTGTTTTTGGAAAGAAAAATTCAACATACCTTAAACTGATTTTCTGATATGTTTATTTTTAACATGACTATTTAAAAATTCATCTTAATGGAAGACTTGGAAAAGGTAGCTTTTACTTGGGTTGACATTAATCAAAGAATGCAGTTGATAGAGTGGCTACCATTTACCAAATGACTGCTATGTGCTAGGCATTATTCTTTACTGTCTTACATTTATCAACTGTAATCCTTACAGTAACACCGCAGGATAGATACTAGCTTCATTTCACTGGTGATGAAAGAGAAGCTTAATTAAAGTGACTTGCCAAGTTTTTAGTAACCGGCTTATGTGCTCAGCAGGTATTTGAGAACCTACTCTGTGTTGGCCCTGTCACTGTGCGGAGACTGAGAATGCAGCTGTGAATGAGAAAGACAAGATCTCCATTCTAAAGAAGTTTACACCCAAGTGGTAAGATCAGGATTTTAAAATAGCAGCGTCAGATTCTGAAGTTCTTCTTCTTAGCTTCCATATTGCCTCCCACTAAGGATACTACAGAAGAGATGGAGAAGTGGTTTTTAGTGCCACTTAAAGTGGGTGGGGATGGGAATTGCATACTGAAATGTTATAGGAAAGAAATATTGGCATACGAGTGTCAAGAAATATTGGAGAAAACACCCTAGGGCCTAGCTGTGTGGTGGGGAATGGTAAGCCTGTGCAACATGACAGACTTGTTTTCTGTAGACACGCTGTAGACAGTGTACATTGCAATAGCAGTGACGTACTTGCTGAGATGGCCTTAAGGATCATCTCAGTGCATGGCTCTGCACTGCCCGACGTGGTAGCCTTCACCTACTTATGGCTTTCAGGTCCCTGAAATGTGGCTAGTGCAACTAAGGAACTGAATGTTAAGATTAAAAAAAATTTTTTTAATTAAAAACTGAAACTTGATCCAGTTACTAGATCTTTTAAGCATGTCTGGAACAACATGGGTATGTGAATCAATTTTTTTTTTCTGCCTACATTTTAAATAAATTAAATACAGATCAAGTATTTGTGATGAAAATACAGCATATGAATTGAGATGTGCTATAAAATACACACTGGATTTTGAAAACACAATAAAAAAGAATATAAAATACCCATTAATTATTTAGAAAATAGTTACATGCTGAAATGATATTTCGGATATGCTAGGTTAAATCAAGTATTAAAATTAGTTTCAACTGTTTATTTTTTACTTTTTAAAAAATATACTAAGAAACTTTAAATTACATACATGGATTGCATTCTATTTGTACTGGAGAATGCTGGTATAATCAAAGGAGGCCTGGTGAAGAGTCTGGTCCATATATTACCTTTTATTTCTGGCATCAGAACATTTTCTTAGTATACATCATTATCCTTTTATCTAAAGTTATGTATTGCTCATTGTTCTTTCTAAGAATGAATGCTGTGAAAGTGTGAATGTGAAAGTGTTAGTTACTCAGTTGTCTGACTCTTTGCAACCCCACGGACTGTAGCCTACCAGGCTCCTCTGTCCATGGGATTCTCCAGGCAAGAATACTGCAGCAGTTGCCATACCCTTCTCTCCAGGGGATCTTCCCAACCCAGAAATCGAACCCTGGTCTCCTGCATTATAGGCGGATTCTTTACTGAGCTACCAGAGAAGCCCATTGTTCTTTCTAAAAATGAATGTTAAGAATCATGTTAATAACTGTGTCAACATTTCTTTCCAGAGTAGAAATATAAAATTATTTACACATGCACTTATGTGAACTGTCTGTATACAAGTGTATATAACACATTTATTTCCAGAATATTTCCCGTAATAAGTTTTTGAAAACAGAAAGTAAACATAAGTATTCTGTGGAACTATATTCAAGGATTGACAGACTTGGGGGTGAAACACTTTATTATATATTATACAATATTTATTTTAGGACAAAAGCAAATGTTATAAAAAGTATAAAAATAGACAAAAAAAAGATACAAACACAATATATTTTGGTCAGAATTTTAGATGTGTTTTTTTTTCTTCTCTCTCCCCTTTACTTCAAAAGTTATAAATACTTTGGAAGCAGCATGCATTGTTGCACTTTTGATTTTTTGTTGTACAGTTAATGAACTTGAAAGTCTGGATGACTGGGGATGATCTATTTGGCCTTCCCATTCTTTCGTTTCTTCTTCTTTGATTATTAAAGGTTTTCCTAGAGTTTGGCCAACAAGGTTACAGACTTCTTGAGCTTTGCGCCATGCGTTTTCTACAGCAGCAAGGCAGGCTTGTCGTCTTAGGAATTAAATGCAGAGATTATCAGTAAGACATTGAACAAACTGTAGGATGGAACAGTTTTGTTTAATTAGTTGATAATTCACTTAAGGATGTGCTTAACTTACCGAAGGTTCTCAACAGAACCTGGCATGTGATAGAACTGGGGTTGGCTGATGACAACCGAGCTATCTAGCTTTTCAACAAGAAAGTTACAGATATTTTGCATTTTTCCGAATTCAGTAAATGTAATGCAGACCTGTAAATGAAATAACAGTTGAAATTACTTTCATGTTTGATGCATGATTTCAAATTTTTTTCTAAATGTGAGTTAAAAAAAAGTAAAGACAAATTACAGTGAAGTCATTTTATAGTACATAACAGATAAGAAAGACCTACTTGGTACTTAAAACCAAATTTTGTTACTGAATTTATTTTTGCTTATGAATTTTGTAATTTGTTTAATGTTGACTTGAACATTTTAAACTTCATTTAAAATCAGTCAGGGACTTTTTATGAAACAGAATTGGGGGGTTTCCCCTTCAATTTTATTATTTGGCTAAATTCTTAGCCTGATAAATGTTTCATGACTCTTTAGACATCTCTTTAGATGTTAGCCAGCTTCCTGATTAGCGGTAATTACTTCATGCTTCACTGCTGTCAGTGAGGTATGCTTCTTCATCCAATAGTTATTTTCAGATCTATATGCAAAAGCTCATCTATTTCATTATGCCATCTGCCTTCAACTGTGTGGAAGCAGTTCTTATATATCCAGCAATACTTCAAAACTGTAGTCTTAAAACATTCTATGGAAGCAAACTAAACCTTTTTCCTAAGGAAACTACACAAGCTCAATATGTAAAACAATAAAGTGCAGGTACTGAAGCACTTTATATAAATTATGTAAAACAATAACATACAGATACCGAAGTACAGGCTGGAGTAGCAAAGAGTCATCTTATACAATATAGAACAGTTGTCTTTCATCATTAATGTTATCCATGGAAGACTGATGTTCTGTCTGGTTTCAATACTTACTTTGGATTAATTTGCTCTCTTTTCTAGTTTCTTAAGGCAGAAGCGTCTTTATTTCAGAGTTTTCTTCTTTTTACTATATGCATTCAATGCTAAAATTTCTCTCTAAGCCCTGCTTTTGCTGCATCTCATAGTTTTTGATAGACTGTATTTTCATTTTCATTTAGTTCTAAATATTTTAAAATTTCTCTTGGGATTTCTTCATTGATCCACATGTCATTTAGAATTGTGTTGTTTAATCTCCACATATTTGGGGATTTTTCAATTATGTTTCTGTTACTTATTTCTAGTTTAATTCCATTGTGATCAGAGAGCAGACATCATATTATCTATACTTTTAAATTTGTTAAGGGATAAGGTTTGGGCTAGAATGTATTTTAGGGGGGAGGGGAGCAGAGAAAGGTTTACTGCAGAGCCAAGTATTGAGAATGGGTGGCTTGTTCTTGAAAGACCCAAACTCCAAATGTGTGCTATCTTGGTGAATGTTCCATGAGAGCTTGAGAAGAATTCTGTTTTGGGGGAAGTAATTTATAGATTTCCATTTTTCTTTTTCTTTTTTAGTCACTAAGTTGTGTCTGACTCTTTGTGAACCCATGGCTCCTCTGTCCATGGGATTTTCTACACAACTACTGGAGTGAGTTGCCATTTCCTTCTCCAAGAGATCTTCTTGACCTAGGGATGGATGGAACCCATGTCTCCTGCTTGGCAGATAGATCTTTACCACTGAACTACCTGAGAAGGCCTGTAGATGTCCATTATATTCAGTCAATTGATGGTATTGTTGAATTTAATTGGATTTTATGCCTGCGGAATCTGCCCCTTCTTTTTGAAGTGACTTTCCTTTTAAAAAAAAAATTATTTATTTGGCTGCATCAGGTCTTAGTTGCTGCACGCAGGGTCTTCATTGCATCATGTGGAATTTTTTGTGTGGTGTATAGTCTGTCTAGTTGTGGCCCACAGGCTTAGTTGCTCCATAGCATGTGGGATCTTAGTTCCCTGACCAGGGACTGAACCCATGTCCCCTGCATGGCCAGGGAGACTCTTAACCACTGGACCACCAGGGAAGTCCCTGAATCTGTCCCTTTTTGATAAAGGAAGTTGGAGACTCCAACTATGATAGTGGACTCATCTATTTCTCCTAGAGGTTCTATTAGTTTTTGCCTGATGTAGTTTGACACTCAGGAGAATGCATATTAAGGACTGTTATTATTTTTTGGCTGTGCCACTATGTGGCATGTGGGATCTTAGTTCCCTGAACAGGAATCAAACCTGCGCCCCCTGCCCTGGAAGCACAGAGTCTTAACCACTGGACCACCAGGGAAGTCCCAATGGATTGTTATGTTTCTTGGAAAACTGCCCTGTATCATTACATGATACCCTTCTGTATCCTAGATAACTCCCTATTATGAAGTCTGCTCTGTCTACAATTACAAGAGTGACTCTTGCTTTCTTTTTATTAGTGTTAGCATCATTAATTTTCTCCATGGATTTAATCTATATATGTCTTTATATTTAAAACAGATTTCTCATAGATAACATATAGTTGGGTGGTGTTTTTTGATCAACTGTGACAATCTGTCTTAATTGCTGCATTTAGACCACTGATGTTCAAAGCAATACTGATATAGCTGGATTAACATCCACCATATTCTTTACTGTTTTCTATTTGTTTCCCTTGTTCTTTTTTCTGTCTTCTGCATTTTGTGATTTTTAACTGAGCATTTCATGGTCCCTTTTTTCTTCTCCTTTCTTAGCATATCAGTTGTATTTTTCAAGCTTTTATCAGTGGTTTCCCTAAAGTACATATTTACCACTAATCCAAGTCCAGTTTAAATAACACTATACCACTTCATGGGTTGTATAATAATATAATAACCTTATAATAACAAAATAATCCTAAGTATTTCACCCCATCTCTTGTATCATTACTGTCATTCCTCTTACTTACACATCAGCATGTGTGCGTGCTAAGTCGCTTCAGTTGCGTCTGACTCTTTATGACCCCATGGACCAAGGCCTGCCAGGCTCCTCTGTCCGTGGTATTCTCCAGGCAAAAATAATGGAGTGGGTTGCCATGCCTTCCTTCAGGGTATCTTCCTGATCTAGGGATCAAACCTGCATCTCTTATGTCTTCTGCATTGGCAGGCGGGTTCTTTATCACTAGCACCACCTAAGAAGCCCATACATATACCATATGTATATGTACTATACATATACATATGTATATTACCATATTACCATATGTAAGTATATATATAAGTAATAGGCATGAGCATACATAATTGAATGTGTGTGTGTGTAAGTCGCTTCACTTGTGTCCGACTCTCTGCGATGCTATGGACTGTAGCCTGCCAGACTCCTCTGTCCACATTCTAGGCAAGAATACTGGAGTGGCTTGCCATGCTCTCCTCCAGGGGATCTTCCTGACCCAGGGATCGAACCTGTGTCTCTTATGTCTCCTGCATTGGCAGGCAGGTTCTTTACTGAGCCATTGGGGAAGCCCCTTACATTATCTGTATTTAATGTGATTATTCATATGGTTATATTTAAACTTTTGATCTTGCTACTGATTATCTATTTGTCTCATATTTTCTTCATTCCCCTCTCCCCATTTCTGCCTTTTTTGAGGAGATTGACTATTTTTTTAAAAATTCTATTTAATATCCTTCATTGGTTTCTTTACTGTAACTTGTTACCTTAGTGTCTGCTTTGGAGTTTACAGTATATACATGTTTGATTTATCGCAATCTACCTTCAGGAGATACACCATTTCACAGAGAATAAACTTTAAATATTATATTTCTCCCTTCATGCTACTGCTGTTATATGTTTTACTTTTACATATGTTATAACCCCTAAAGTTCATCATTATCATTTTTGTTTAAACAATTATTTTTATATAGGTGTAGAGTTATAGAGATATAAGAAAAATATCATATCTACCTAGGTAGTTACCATTTTCAGTGTTCTTCATTCCTCTGTGTAGATTCCTATTCCTTCCTAGTACCATTCTCTTCCACCTACCCACATTCCATTTAACATTCCTTGGATTGAAGGTCTATGGTAATGAATTCTTTCACCTTTCTGAAAAAGTCTATAATTGGCCTTTGATTTTGAACAATATTTTTGCTGAACATAGGGGAAATATAAGATAGGAGAAATATGACTTAAATGCATAAATAAAATATAAATATGATTTATACATTGGAGAAGGAAATGGCAACCCACTCCAGTATTCTTGCCTAGAGAATCCCAAGGATAGAGGAGCCTGGCGGGCTACAGTCCATGGGGTCGCAAGAGTCGGACACGGACACGACTTAGCAACTAAAACCACAAACCATGTATAAAATATTTCACAACAAAAATGAAGAGTTGAAAAAAGATTAGAGGAGATAATGTATGGAAAACACCTGAAACATGGAAACGTGCAAGGAAAAGGAGAGGGAAAACTGATTATACTACTTTTCCTATTTAATAGACTTTTATTGAATGCTTATTGTGTCCCAGGCTTTTAAAATCTCTCCAACACAGAAACTGTAACAAGAAAACATGAGAAGTGGAAAGACAGATAAAGGAATTGCAAAGCCAAGGTGTTACTTCAACATTTCCCAGGTGAAGCCCTAAAATCATCATCGTTGTTGTTGTTTAGTCACTAAGTCATGTCCGGACTCTCTGCAACCCCGTGGACTGTAGTCTGTCAGGCTACTCTGTCCATTGGATTTCCCAGGCAAGAATACTGGAGTGGGTTGCCATTTCCTTCTCCAAGGGATCTCCTGAGCCAGGAATTGAACCTGAGGTGCCTACGACGTCTCCTGCATTGCAGGTGGATTATTGCTGAGCCAACAGGGAAACCCAAAATCATTATAAGTATTTTTAAAATTCCTTTAGATAGTTAAATTTTAAGTGAAAAAATTACAAATTTATTCAAGTAAATATAAGGACAACAGTGTATTATGATAATTACTAACTCAAGAGATAAGAAGCCAGGATTCTAAGTTCCATTCTAATTCTTGTAATATGATCTTTAAAAAGTCTGAGCCTAAGCTATCTAAGTCTAAAGCCACACCCTTAAATCTAGGAAAAATAATATATTATCTGCCTGGAGGTAGGACTAGGTGATTTCTTGAGGTATTTTCCATCTCTAAAGGCAAAGTTTCTCTGATTGGATTAACAAGATTCCATTCTAATCCAACTCTTGTTTGTTTCCTGTGGCAAGGAAGCAGTATGACTAAGCACATACTCCAAGAAGTTTGGAATCAAAAAGAAACAGCAGTCTTCTAACCTAGCTGTAACTACTTATAACATACTCTGACTTCATAAAGTCCTGATCATAAAATCTTTGAAGGTAAGTAAAAAGATCAACAGTTGTAGGAACTAAATATTTTCATTAACTGTGTGTAAAAAAATAAACAATTTTTTCAATTTGTGCAAAGGTTGAATAGTTTTTATTTTTAAATAAATTTTAACACAAAATAAAATTGTCTTGTGAAACAAAAGAATGTTGAAGTCTTTCAATCCTTTATGCTATGACTATCAATTTGCTATTTATCTGAGGAGAAGAAATGTTTCCTCTGTAGTGTTTCCTCCTGTTGACTACATGATAACATTACTAAAATTTTATTCAGGTGGCAATTAAATGCTACTTCCCTCTTGCTATTTTTATTCCATTTCAAAACAATTTCTCTTAAATCTCACTCATATATATAAAACCAAAAATGATTTTGAGAAAAATGATCTTTAATCAACACCATGAGAAGTATTTCTCCTGTATTTGACTTTCAAGAATAAAATTAAATGCAAATTGTCCCCACAAAGTCATGCTGTTTCCAATTATTTCTGAAGATAATACATACCTCTGCTTCCATGTGATAAGCATTTTCTAGCCTTTTAAAATCTTTTGTCACAGTTACATTTTCTGACTGAAACAGAAAGTACAAGAATATGATTAATAAATGTTTGGCTACTAAATGCAATTACTCTAAAACATAAAGTATAAACCTGTACTTATTAAAATCAGAATAACAAAATATGTGAAAAGAACTGGCTTTAAACCTTTCCTAAAAAAAAATATAAATTCAGAAACCTACAAATATTTGCTGATATTTCATCATAATTGTCATTCCACTTGTAATTTTTACATTAGCTAGTTCAAAAAGTATGAACTTAGGGTGATATATATATATGAAGCATTATTTGTACCTAAAACATTCTGAATGTTGTAGGGATGTTAGAGTTTATAAAATGTTTAACTCACAAATAATACTAATTTACTGAACACATACAGTATTGAAACTTTGGGCAAGTTACTCAACTGTTTGAGACATAGTTTCCACACTTACAAAATTGTGTTACACTGCATGTGAAGTAGTAGGTAGATGGGTCCCAGGCTGAGCCACTGGAGTTTGTCAGGCTGAGCAATTGGAGCTTGTCTCTCCCTCCCCCAAAATTTCAGGGGAAAAGATAATGGCAGGAGCAGAGAGGAACTAAGCCCTGCCAGAGTAAAAAGATGACCACATCTTTCATTCTTCAGGAAAAAGAGACCTCCCTGACTGTACATGTGCAGAAAAGTTCCTAGGGGGTCAAAAAGGAAGGGGGTGCTAACCCATAATATGTTTGGCCAACCCCTCAGAGACCCTTGTGCTGGAATCATCTTGGCCAAAAGATTCATGCGCACATTCGTCAGGGCCCTGAGTCAGATCAGATGTGGGCAACAAGCAAGATAATTGGTTAGAGGAAAACAAAGACATGGAAGAAGGCCCCTATTTTAGCAATTCAGACCACACCTTTAGCAAAGATGCCCTAACTCTTCTCTGAGTGTGTAGCTCTGCTTTGCTTCTGTCCTAAATAAACTGCTTTTCTTTGTGCTCTTTCACATGTATGATGCTTCTAATAATCTCTGCCTGTTTTACAACCTTGGTCTCTTAGTAAAATTCTTTTTTCAAAGGGGTCAAGGGCCAGGGCTCTGCCTCTAGCCCCTAGTGGTCTAGTGGTTAGGATCCCTGGTTTTCACTCAGCCAGCCTAGGTTTGATTCCCAGGCAGGAAACTAAGATCTTGCTTCAAGCTGCCACTCACTGCTATTACCTCCGAGATCACATGGAATTGACTTGAGGATTTAATGAAAATTTGTGAATAAAATGCTTGACAGAGAAGGCACTCGGCAAACAGAGATGCAATATCATTATGATGTAAACATTTCCTGAAATACTGGACCTAAGCCAGCCTGTTCTTAGAAAAGTAACATTAATGCTTTTTGATTCTCTGGGTAAGTACAGGGTATATAATTCTGATAAAAAAGTTGAACTTCTTATTTATGTTTCAAAGGGTTTTAAAATTTAGTGAAATGAATTCTTGACCTACTCCCACTCTTGGGGATAGGCAGAACTTATATTTTATAAATGTTTGTATCTTTAAAAATACATGCTAAGATGATGATGCTCAATCACTTAGTTATGTTATTTGGTAAAGGATTTAGATGCACATGAATTTTAAGATATACACTAATTTCAAGCCATTTATAGACCTAGAAAAGAAAATCAGAACTTAAGTTCCAATTATAGCTGTGATGTCAGTTTCAATGAAAATATTAATTCATTTTTGTGATATTATCATCTTATGGTAATAATTATTCACTGTAGAAAATTACAGTATTGATAAATATAAACTAAACCAATGCTGTTTTCAACATTGCTTAAAGTTGAAAACATGAAACTTGATACATGAAACATTTGTCATTTAGTATTCTTTTATGACATGTAAACATATCTTCTATTTTCTTAGATGTCTTTTTTCAGTTTTCCCCCACCTCACTTGATAAATATATATAAGACTTCTGACGGAAAAATTATTAGAGAAATAATTTTAGGAAAGATAGCAGAAAAGAAAGTATCTTTTATTGTTTCACTTAACATTATAGTTTTTATAAAAATAATATACACTAATTAATGAATAATACTAGAGAAAGAATAGTCTCCAAACCCATGTTAATATTTCAGTAAACATTTAATTAAATCATCTATCCATGCACAGAAAAATTTGTAGATCTATGTATAGAATTTTTTATAAATGAAATTATCCTCTATATGCTGTTCTGTAACCTTTTAATCACTTCTATTTTAGAAAAATTTAAAATCTACAGAAAAGTTGCCAAGATAGTATAGAGTTCCATATTCCTCAGTTTCAGGTTTTTCTGATGTTATCATTTTTTTATTCTATGGTACATATCAGTTCAGTTCAGTCGCTCAGTCTTGTCCAACTCTTTGTGACATATACACATATATCCACAATTGTTTCTGTTTCTATCCATCTGATATATACTAAGCTAAACATGAGTTCATACTGATGTTTCTAACTCTCATTAAGAACCACAGAGTTCATTCTAACTTTCCTTTCTTATCTATAATTTCCTCTACAGTAGTCAGAAACCTGATTTCCCTCATCCACCAACCACCTATTTTTCAAGCCTACTATACATATAAAGCAGTTACAGAACTGTAAACCTTGTAAAAACATTTACTAACTAGAGTACAGAGTTTATGTATCTTTCATCTTTATCATTAGTTGCTAGTAAAATATAATTTTCCAAACTTACTTAGGATACTCTGCTCACCTTCTGTCCCCATGTTCAGTGCAATTACGTCATTCATTTGTAACAGAGTTAGATTCATTTGTCACAGTCTGGGTTCTGTCCTGGAATTGATCTGTGGTTTTTTTTTTTTTAATTTGCATAATTAGTGTCCCCTTTTTGTGATTTACAGTTTTATGGGTTTGACAAGCGTATTCACCACCCCAGTACCACACAGAATAATTTTTTCCCCTTGAAAAGTTTCTCTGTGCACCTCCTTTATAGTTAACCACTTTGCCATCAAACCACCTGTCCACCAATTTATGTCCCTATAGTTTTCCCTTTTCCAGAATGTCACATGAATGGATCACAGAATGTAAACCTTTTGAATCTGTTTTTTTAGCTTATAATATTTAAGATTTGCTCATGTTATTCTGTGAATAGCTTGCACCTCTTTATTGCTGAGTAATTTTCCAATGCATGGATGTAACAGTTATCCATTCCGCTGTTGAAAACATCTTGGCTGTTCCAAGTTTTAAAGTTTTAGTGAGTTATGAATAAACCTGCTATAAATATTCTTGTGCAAATTTATATGTGAACGTAAGTCTTTGATTCTCTTGTGGGTTAATGGTTCCTATAGTAAGTCTAACTTTGTAAGAAGCTGTAAGACTGTCTTTCAAAGTGGCCAAACCACTTTGCAGTCTCACCAGCAATGAATGAAAATTTCTGTTGTTCCACATCTTTGCCAGCATTTGCTATCATCAATGATATTGGATTTTAGTCAATCTAATACATGCATAATGGTATCAAATTGTGGTTTTAATTTGCATTTCTTTAATGACAAATGATGTGGAGGATCTCTTCATGTGTTTACTTGTCATCTGTATATATTCTTTGGTGAAGTATATGGTCAGGTATTTTGTGCTTTTAATTGAGCTATCTGTTTTCTTATTATTGAATCAACCATAAAATCAAATAAAGCAGTAATTTTTATTTTTAAGGGCACTTGAGTTAGATTCTTGCACATCCAGTAAGGGGAAAGATAGACTTTAATAAATGGTTTCAATAGATGTTTTCTTCTAAATGGGTAAGTACAGCAACTTTTTCCTTTTTCCTTATACCAAAATAAATTCCAAATGTAGTAAATATTTAATGTACTATAAAGGGTCCCTAAAAAGTCCAGGAAATATTAGTTAATAGCTATATAGCTTCAGGCTTGTGAAGGACCCAATAGCATTATACCAAAGTCAGAAAACTTTTTTTTTTTTGCTGGAGAAATGTTTATTTGAAGTGAAAAACAATAAAAAAAAAATAGTACTTTAACCAACATATGAAGCAGAACAAGAAAACAATAAAAACAGATTACATTAGTCCTTACAAATTTGGGGATTTAAAAAACTCTTATCATTTAGCTTTAATCTCCTTATGAGAAGCTTTCCTTATGAAGAAAATAAAACTTTGAAGAGTTTAAGTGATTTACTAGAAGACTCAAAAATATCATGAAAAATTTTACTATTAAGAGAATTTAAATAAATCTTTAAAATTTTTAATGTTTAATACTGTAAACAGGTTACATGGCAAATAAGAAATTGGGAAAATTTTTGCAATATATGAGAGATAGTTATTGATAATCTTAATTTTTAAAGTTCTCTAAATCTCTAAAGTTAAAGTTCTCTTAATTTTTAAAGTTTAAAGAAAAGATAACAGAAAAATAGGAACAGTAATAGGGAATTGTTTAATAAGTGTTTTATTTAAAATGCAGTGATCAGTAATGTTTAATAAGTATTTTATGGTTGAATGAGTAAATATTGCTTGTAACTTTAAAACATTTTTCCATGAAAACACTCAAAATGACGTCATGCCGTCACAAGTGAAACTATATATAACCATAAAATTATATATGATCTATATGATAGCTGAATAGTTTATTAAAAACCATTTTCTAAGTACACATTATGTGAGGAGTACGAAACATAACCCACCAATACAAAGCAAACAAGAGACAAAATGTTCTCCACTCTGGGGAGGTTTAGAATATGGAGGAGAGACAAGGAAAGCAGTAATTATAATATAAAGTGATACATTTTATTAAGGGTGGTGAATGGAGTATGGTATGCAGGGAGCAGTGTAGGAAAAAAGTGCTCAAGAAGTGAACTTGTGCTGGTTTTTAAAGGAAAAAAAAAGGGAAGTCAGTCTATGAGGGGAGGAGATGACAGAGTTAAGCTCCATCTATTAAGTGAAAGAGTTTGGAATATGAGGGGCCTTTTAATCAGGGGAGTGATGTTTATAAACACAGATTTTAAAGTTTAAAATGAATAAAGATTTTGTGAAGACCCATTAAATTCACCCAAAATGTAATATAAATGATTTTATTTGCATTTTCTACTGAACAAATTATTTACCACTGCTTTCCTCCATCAGCAGAGATAATCTGGAGATTACTGACCTTTGCATGTCTTGAACACTAAGTCTTTAATGTACTTACTTTAAGTTGGATGTAGTGACTGATCCTGTTTTACATATTAGAAGTTGCAGCTATGTGAGCTTCGTATACATTTTAAGCAAAAAACTTAAGAATTAGTTACATTATTCAAATATGTCTGCAGCACTGGCAGCAGTTTTGGGGAGAAAATATATTTCTATATATTAAATTCATTTTATTCACATAATTTATAATTAGACAGAGACAGGCTCATCTTTCTAAACTGTAAAATCATTTAGAGGCATCTTTTCAAAATGACTTTTAAAATACATCTATGTTTATAAATGCAATCTATGTTTATAAGTACAAATAAATCTTCTCCTTAAAGACTTGCTTTTTGAGGGTGTGTCATTTCTAACAAGAGCACTTTTAAGAACTCAGTGTTGGGGGGACACAGATCACAGCTCTGGCCTTCAGGCTACTCTGTAATAAGAGGGATCTGAGACAGCCTATGAAGTCTGTGCTTTCTAATTCTCTTTCATTCTGATTATCTGGAGCCTAGGATAGTTGAAAGAAACCTAGATTTTGGTTTTGAGAATACAGGAGTTCAAATATAACCCTGGGTGTTCAGAGCATTATTTAACTTCCTTAAATCTGGAAAGTGGGGCTATTAAAACCTGCTTAACAGGGGTGTTGTACGAATTAAAGAAGACTTCTTCTTTTTTTTTTTTTTAAAGTGGGCTTAGGGCAAGATTTATTTAGAGATTTGTTTCAGGATCATCTCTGTTAAGAAGAAGTATTTCACATATGTGGCATGTACAATATACTGGCTTAATTTTCTTTTTTAAGCTAAAACTAAACAATTCGGAGAAAATTTTGAGTCTTTATAAAACGAAAATGGGTACAATATTCCCCCTATCCCGCCCCAGCCCACATTACTTTTTGCGAAAAATACCGAAGAATCACTTCATGTAAAGCTTTCCCAGGCTGGCAGGAGGGGTGCAGAATAAAAAACAAAAAATGATTCAGGGTCTAGCACACTACTTATGCAAGCATTTACATCTTCTTGTTTCAAGTTTAACAGTTCGTCATTTCAAGGTTAAAAACAAATTACTGCAACAAGTGATACCAAATAAAACCCCACTCAATTTTAATTCTTTTGTTTTACAATCACTGCAGCTGATAATTACTTTCCCCTAGAAGGATGGGGTGGGAAAGACTGAAGGCGGGGGGAGACCGGGACGACAGAGGATGAGATGATTGGATGGCATCACAGACTCGACGGACAGGAGTTTGAGTAAACTCCGGGAATTGGTGATGGACAGGCCTGGCGTGCTGCGATTCATGGGGTTGCAGAGTCGGACACGACTGAGCGACTGAACTGAAGTGAGGAGGATGGGCCAGAGATACACTCGGCCAGATCCTCGCGGCCCCTCACGCGGCCGAAGACTCAAAGGTGTCCCAGACACTCAAAACCCTCCCCGCCCCTACCCTCCGCCGCCGGCTTTTCGCGGTCGGGCTGGAAGCTCCTGGCCGGCGGAGCGCTCACCTGCACGCCCTGCAGCCGGAGGCTCTGCGTGATGTAGTCCAGGCGGCGGCAAACGCTCTTCTTGGCCTCGGCCGCCGCCCCCTTGGTGCTGCTCACTCGCACGATCACCTGCGCCCGGTCAGGGCTCGCAGACACCTCCGCGGTGCCGCTGACATGCACCTCGCGGGTGGGAGTTTGGGCCGGCGCTGAGGAGAGAGGGCGGCGGAGGCCCGGCAGCGTCTCTCCGCCCGAGAGCAGATAGTTCTCTCGGCCCCGGTCAGCCCAGGGAAGCAGTTCCACGAACACCCGCGACTGAGGGGTCTGCTGCAAAGACATAGCGATGGCAGCTTGGTTGTCCGTAGCAACTCAGAGCCGACGGCGGCCGAAGGGGTCCAAGCGCCTCAAGGCTGGCGCGGCGCGACGCGGCGCAAAGGTTGTCGGGATGGGTTTGGCGGTCGAGGAGCCGCTGTGGAGGACGCGAGTTATGCTTTGCGGGGGATTTTGCCTCGTCTCCGTTACGAGTTGTTGACTGAGCGCGGCGCTATGGTTTTTAACTTGCTTACCTTGTGGTCTTGGAAAACCTGAGGGAGGTTTTTATGCGGCCACCTTCTCAGTGAGCTCCCCTTTCCACGCCGTCCGTCTGCCTCGGCCGGCGACGCGCCGTGCGTACCTCGGGTTTCCTCAGAGGCCGGAATGGCTCATTTTATCCTCATCTGCTGCGGCTCTGCGATTGTCCCAACTTTGTCTTTACTTTTGTCTGACTCTGCTATTCCACTTGCGCAGTGGACCCCACGGCACCGTAGAGCGCCAGAGATTTGTGTTGGATTGAACTTACCAGTTTGATCTTGGAAGTTTATGATTCCTCGAATCTCAGTTTCATCACCTCTAAAGCCGTGTTGATAATACATTCCACATTTGCAGTGTGATCATAAAGTAATTGCCATATAGAAAGCAGAAAATAATGGATAATGATAATAGCTAAAGCTTTGGCGTGCTTTTCAAATGTCTCGAATTTTCTCAAATTCCTGGAATGGTTCTGGCCTTGAATAAGGACAAGAGAAACTCAAGTGGTATCAAAGCACATTCAACAAGGACATGGCAGAGCCTTACACTGCTTAGTTCTTATCTTTACCCTTTGCTTGAAAAAATATCACAATCTTTAACCCAGTGACCCACATTAGTAGATTTTCTTCCAACAATAAGTAATGATGTATAAAAATAGCCCTCCTGTCCCAGAGGAAAAAGATTTTTTTTTTGATAACTTTTTTTTTTTTTTTAAATTTAAGAAAGGACAACTGTTCTCTTGAAAGGAGCCTGAAAAAGCCAACCGACAATCCTCAGGTAGTTTCTTCTCTATCATTTTTCTTTTATTTTTGATGAGTAAGATGATTCAACTAAATCAGACAGTACCCGCATCCTCTTCATTGGTTCATGGATAGTTTTGTGTATATTTATTTCGATGTTTGTTGTTAGAAGCAATTATAGGTTAGTATTTTAATTTTAAAAACCTTTCCACTGTATTTTTAAAAATAATTTGTCACCAAAAATAATGTTTCGTGAATCTTGCGGAGAATTCTTTTCGTTTAATGATAAATGTGGAAAAATATAACCTTCAAGGTGAACCACTGAATGAATGTACATCATAGGTAAAAAGCAATAGGAGTTTTAAGTGCATATAAATATTTAGGGTATGCCAAAAGTAACTTTCAAATAACTTGGAAAATGAGTAAGTGGTATAGGGATAATTCGTTGGCTATGTGAAAGAAGTATTGATCTGTATCTTAACATGCACTAAAAATAAAATTCAGATGAGACAAAAAATAGAAGAGAGAATGGGTAAATATAAATATAGGAATGAGAAGGACTTTCTAGGCATGATTTCAAATGCAGGAACCATAAGGAAAGGTCTGAAAAATTTGATTACACTAAAATAATGTCAGTATGTGAAACAAAATAAAAAGGTGAGGGGTAAATTGGGAAAAAATATTTGTATAAAAAGCTAATAGTCTTAATGTTTAGTGAGCTCTTACCAGAAAAAAATGAAAGAAAAATGAATAATTTCACAGAGGTAAACCTTGGATCATTCATAACTGTCATAATAAAATCCCATGGAGCGGGTGGCTTAGAAATTTCTTTTCTCTGGAGGCTGAGAAGTCCAAGATGAAGGCTTGGTGCCTTTTTGTTTTGCAGACAACCTTCTCACTGTGACCTCACATGACCTTTCTTATGTGCACAAGGATCCCTGATATTTCTCTTTTTATAAGATCTCCATTTCTGAAATCCCCTGGAGAAGGGAATGGCAACCCACTCCAGTATTCTTGCCTGGAGAATTCATGGACAGAGAAGCCTAACGGGCTACAGTCTATGGGGTCACAAAGAGTCTGACGCATATGAGCAAGTATTGGATTAGAGCTCTAACCTCATTTAACCTCAGTCTCCTCTTTAAAGTCTGTATCTCTAAATACAATAATATTGGGGGTTGGCTGTTCAACCTATGAATTTGGGTGGTGAGGGGACACAATATGGTCCATAACACAAGCCAGTAGAGCAGAAATATCAGTAGTCTATAAAATGAGGGGAAAAAAAGTTATCTTAGTAAAAGTGCAAATTTTACAATACAGTCCATGGAATTTTTCAGGCCAGAATACTGGAGTGGGTGGCCTTTCCCTTCTCCAGGGGATTTTCCCAACCCAGGGATTGAACCCAGGTCTCCTGGATTGCAGGCAGATTCTTTACCAGCTGAGCTACAAGGGAAGGCTAAGAATATTGGAGTGGGTAGCATATCCCTTCTCCAGGAGATCTTCCCTACCCAAGAATTGAACCGGGGTCTCCTGCATTGCCAGCAGATTCTTTACCAAATGAGCTATCAGGGAAGCCCCAAATTGACAACAAATATCCTTTTTTTGAACTGTCATTCGGAAAATGATAAAGTCAGTAGGAATGGAGCTGAGATAGATAAAGGAGTAATTTTGAAAGAAGAATGGAATAGTTCATGGCAAAAGAACTATATAGTAAATAAAAGAGAAGGATAAACCAAAGCTGATAAAGATTTTCAGTCAGACCTGGGGAAATGAATGAGGATGATAGAGTATGTATATTAGTTCAGCTCACAATGACCTAGTTCTCCTATAGAGTCAATGCTGAGTCTCTAGCAACCATCCTGAGTAACAGATCTCTTGACTTTGTTCTTTGTACAACTTGATAAGACCCAGAATAGGCAAGTTCAGCTCACAGTGACCTAGTTCTCTAGAGTCAATGCTGAGCCTCTAGCAAACATCTTGAATAGCACACCTCTTGACTTTGTATTTGATTAAACCCAGAATAGGCACTTGTTTCACGCTGGGCTGGTTAGACGTTTTCTTTTTTATTCATAGAAATCTATATTTACATATATTCAGCCACTCAGATGGTGAACCATGACATATATGTACTTGAGAGAGACAGATTTGCCATTTTTCATATGTAGTTTCTAGTAGAGAAGCAGAAAATGTCAATGTGTCAGTGGATAGAGAAAAGGAAAGAAGAGAGAGAGGAAATAAAGCATTCAGAGAGGAACAGAGATGAGATTAAGAATCCAAATGAAGTTCCAATTTATGTTTATAGAATTTTTCTTAGACCTGGCTTCATTCACACCCTGGAGCTCTATAAAATATTCCTGTGTCCTTATCATAAGATCTCTCTTGCCTTTTTTAATGCATAAGTAGGTTGGCTGAGTTTTATGTTATCCTAAAACTAAAACTTTTGACTGATATTAATAGAGGAGAATTCAGAGAAGACTTGTACAGCTTTGGAATTTCTCTTGAGAGCCTTTTTCAAAGAGAGGATAAGGTTCCAGTTGACAGATCAGATGACTGGAGTCACAGGATGACGATGGGGATATCTGAAAGTGTGCTGCATGCTGCTTGACACATAGTATTAAATACACAACTTCCAGTGGTCTTGTATAGTCCTGCATCACTTTTCGAGCTGAGACAGCTTTGGCTTTGAGGATAACCTCTTGAGTAAGGTAGTAGGGAATAGAATAAAACTCTGATGGAATAAAACTTACATGGTGCTAAACAAAGCACAGGGGAAAATTGCTTATCTGAAAACGCCATTCACCCAGAAAGAAAGTTTTAACTCAAGTCATGTCCGCATAAGTACAGAGTTAAGACATGTAATCTTTTTTCTTTTTTTGCTCCAGACTTGTAGAAGCATGGTAAAATCACTTTAAGCTTAGAAAATATAGTATGTTATGAGAACAGTGAAAGATTGTCCCAAGGAGGGTGAAGGTTAGATAAGTAACCTTCTGAGAATGACAAACGAACTGAAAAAGAAAACATATTATCTTAGACACATGTCCGTAAGATTTAGTACAGTCAGGAGTACTGACTAACATGGTATAGAAGTGATCCTAAGATGTGATGAATACAGAAATAGAGAAACAAAATAGCAAATGACTAACATCATTGGCTCTTTTTTTCACTATCACAGTTGCCATCCTTTTAGATAACTTTCCTATCTGTTTGCTTCTAGACTTCCCCACCCAAACCAGTTGCATAATTCAATGGCCACTAAAAGAAATTTGATCATTTGTATGATTAATTTAGATCCCAATATGATCTTTCCTATAAACTTCAAGTTTCAAATCTTTGAACCTCATGGTTTCTTATGTAGTTCTAACACTTTTTGTCTGTAATCTTTTGATGTGTTTTGATTTCTATCTCATTTATAGCCAAATTGTACTGATATCTGTATATACTTTGCAATTTTATCTGCACTTCATAGCCAGCTCACTAGTCATCTGCCTATGAAGAAAATAATCCCCTTTCCTCTTAATCACTTCATGTTCAGTCTTTCCCCTAAATGTAGTCAGTTTTTGTTCATTCAGAAATAGGAAGGAATGGAACGTTTCTGAATATTTGAACAATGTGGATGATTTACAAGTAGTCTACATGAATTATCAACCTCAAATGAATTATTTTATAATAATGATAAGATTAATATAATAAAGGGCTTCCCTGGTGGCTCAGTGGTAAAGAATCCGCCTGCAATGCGGGAGACACAGTAGACATGGGTTCTATCCCTGGGTTGGGAAAATCCCTTGGAGGAGGGCATGGCAACCTACTCTAGTATTCTTGCCTGGAGAATCCCATGGACAGAGGAGCCTGATAGACTACAGTTCATAGAGTCCGAAGAGTCGGACATGACTGAAGTGACTTAGCATGCATGCAATATAATAAAATCTCTCTTTGATAATTCAGAAGAAACTTCAAAATCTTGGGGGTGGCTTAGGCTCACAAATGCAAGCAAGAATCATTATTCAATAGCACTGCAAAATAAATCTGATTATTCAGGTGTTCTGAGTGGTTTTGGATTCTGGATAAATAGGAGATTATTCTAGCCTTCAAAATATGAATATTCTTTGATCTTCTCATACTCATCCTGTCAGACTATAATCATTATGAAATATCACAGGTATTTATGTATTTGGCTATGGTATTTTGTTAATAAAATAATCCACCTCATTGGTTCTATGTTTTTTGTTTGTTGAAGATTCTTGTCATATAGATGTATTCTTTAGTGATGCAAAGTGAAATCTTGACTGTCTAAACAGATTTTCTCAACCTTGCCCTCTTGTAATGGTAAGAGAGGATAGACAGTTCAGTCCTCTGTCAGCTCCTGGCCATTTGCTTAATCCTCCCACTGAAGTAAGTATACTGAGATGCTAACAGTTCCCAGTGAGTTCTATAGTGTTACCTAGAAAGAGCATGGGCTTTGTAGTCCTACAGACCTGTGGTTGAATATTCCTAGATCTGTGACTTTATGGAATTTATTTAAATCTTTCTGAGACTGAGTTTCCTCATCTGTAAAACAGATAATAACATGTACCTGCTGCAGGGACTGCTAATGTTTTACTTTTATTCTTGGGCACAATAAATACTTTCAGCCTCTCTTGCAGGCTGATGTGTCCAGGCCTGAATTCTTGCAATGGAATGCTGGTTGGAAATAAAATACACCACTTCCTGCTTGACCTATAGCAATCCCCCAAGTGTGCTCTTTGTACATTTTCTTCATCCGCTGATTGGGAAGGACCCTAGAGACCAAAGAGAAACAAGAACTTGAAGACAGAAGAAGCTTGGAACAGAGCTTGCTGCCACTCCTTTGCCACCCCATGAGATGTAAGCAAGAAATAACATTTATTTTGGTAAGGCGCTGACACTTGGAGGATATTTGTTTCATCAGTTAGTTTACCCTCTAATATACCTTTAGGATTAGTATAAAGAGTACATGAGAAATATTTATTTATGTGACTGACGTAAATCAAGTGTTCAGTAAATGACAGTTATTGTCATCATCATCCTTTACATGTATTGATATAAGCATGTGAGCCTACAGGCACTGCAGGTACCAGGATTCTCCCAAATGATCAGACCAATAGGATCTGAGTTGGCAGGACTGACTTCTTGCTGCTCTTCTTACTGATTGGTACTTCTCAGATTCCTTAGAAGTATAAATGATTAATTCTTTTAGTTATAGATTTTTAAATTAAGTTGTAGGTGTCATATAACATTATATTAGTTTCAGGTATACAGTGTCATGATTCGATATTTGTATATATTGGGAAATAATCGCCATGGTATGTCTAGTCAGCAGCCAGTTATAGATTTTGACATCATATATTTAGTCCTTTTGTTGGCCTGTTCATTTTATTTTCTGTCATTGTAACATGTGATACCCCTAACTTTTAGTCACATTTTTTATACCTATAATTATGTACCATTTAGAATCCAGGGGAGAGAGACCAGGCCAGTACTGTTCAATAGAGATACAGTGTAAGCCACAAACATAATCTTAAATTTTCTAGTAGTCACATTAAAAAAGGTTTAAAAAGAACCCAAGTGAAATTAATTTTTAATAATTACCTAACCTAATATATCCAGCATTAACATTTTAACATGTAATCAGTATCCTTTGAATCTATTATTCATGCTGATTTTTGAAATCAGTGTGTATTTAACACTGACAGCATATTTTGATTTAGACTAGCCTGACTGAAAGTGTTCAAAAGCCACAGTTGTATAATGGCTATCACATTAGACAGCTCAGGGATGGGCAAATGAGAAGGCCTATCACCAGTTAGGAAAAACTAAGTTATGTGCTGCATTTTCTTTGTAGATGGAGAATAGCATTATTCTTATTGTTCTGGGAGAAAAGACATGGAAGGGCAAACATTCACATCACCAGGTTCAGGAGATGGACATTTTACTTATGGGGTGTCGTTTCTCTGGGATACAAGTCAGGAAACTTCTTTGCAGTTCAACTTTCTGTGGTACTTTGTATGTATTAGAAGGCTCTTCAACATAATGGTCAATGTTCATACAATTATATTTTCAGCATTCATAAATTTTTAATAAAAATATTTATAACTTTTATAGGAAAACTAACATTTTGAGCTTGTGTGCTAAGGGAGACCATACAAGAGCCTGATACACAGTGATCTTCAAAGTCTAAGCTGGTAATAAAGTATTAATTTTTCTTAGGAAAAGTTAACTACTCCTCCTAGTCTCAGTTTTCAAAGGAAATTTAACTTTTTTTGTATAAAACATAGACTTTAGAAATCCACTACTGTATATTGAAATGCCCATCTATCCTTGTTTAATGAAAGCACAGGAATCACTTTCCAGTGTATAAAACAAAAAACAGAGTTTAATTTAAAGACATTTAATTTACCAAAGTAAACAATATTTGAATAATATGGTTACTTTAAAGATGATGGGCAGTCACTCCCAGGAAGGAAATAATATGTTGCAAGTTTGAAAGAAAATGGTTTTATTAAGATGTCATTTCATGAAAAGGAACTAATGTCTTTAATATTCAAAGCACCAGAAACAAATTTAACACACTGTGCTAGAGAAACCAGACATAACATTTGATGGTTAGAAAAGATAGGATTTTAAGAAAAAAAAAGTTACCTTGTTTTTCTCTTCTATCATAGAAAGGAGGTTAGATATGAGGCAAATTAGGGGGGAATTCAGGGGGAAAGTAATGTATACAAATCAGATGATAAAGGAAAAATTAATAAAGTTGAATACAGATTGTTAAATGATAATGGGAAGAGGTCATATTTAACATAATTATATGTTTTTAAAAGCTATAGTCATGTTGTATAGTACATACTCAGAACTCATTTATCTTCTAAACATACTGTGTATTAAAATTAGAATGCACTGTTGTTGGGACTGTAGATGCGTCTAACTATTAGAGGAGTTGCTCAAAATATTAAAAAATAGACCTTTTATTTGATCTAGCAATCCCACTTCTCTACTGTCATTTCCATGCTACCCCTTACCCACCATGCTACAGAGAACTGAAGACTAGACTTGTTAATGCAGAAGTCATGGCTTCACAGTCACAAACTAGAAATAGAGGATGGGTTCAGCTGTTTTATTTCTGATAGGAGAGAGAGTTTAGATGAGCTATCCAAAAGCAAAGCCATAGGTTTGGGGAGATGTTCTCTGGCTTTTAACTTGAATGTAGCTGTCAGCCTATTTAGTAGTTGATTCATTAGGTGACTTAGATTGCATTTTGCAGTATTTTATGCTTGGAAGATTTACCAAGAAATTTATATTTATTAAAATTAAACTTTCTTTTGTTGTATACTAATGACATTTTTAAGGCCACAGTATGTATTAGATGATTCTGACCTTAAGAAAAAAATCCCTGATTATAATTATTACACTTTTGCTTTAGATAATTGGATTTTTTGTTTTCAAAATTGGCTGTGTGTGTGTGTGTGTGTGTGTGTGTGTGTGTGTATTTGAAAGGGCTGAGAAAAGAAAGTTTGGGGTAAGAAAGTTTAAAAAAAAGTTTTTTGTTAAGTAAACTTAGGCCTGGGGCTTCCCCAATGGTTCAGTGGTAAAATAATCTGCTTGCAATGCGGGAGACTCAGAGATGTGGGTTCAATCCCTGGGTTGGAAAGATCCCCTGGAGGAAGAAATGGCAGCCCATTCCAGCCTTCTTGCCTGGAGAATGCAATGGACAAAGGAGCCTGGTGAGCTACAGTGCATGGGGTCACAAAGAGTTGGATGCAGCTGAGCACACACATACTCACACAAACTTAGGCCTTAAGTACTGTAGTTACAGTGCCTGATAGATAAAACTGCCTTGCCTTTAAGGAAGATACATAATACTCAAAAAAGTTAATGCTTGTCATAAAATTTTAGCATAAAATAATCTTTTCATATCTTACATCATTGGCTTTAACTTAAGAATAAAGATATGTAGAAAATAAAGCAATATGACTTCTCAGAGAGATAGTTTCTTTTACTTTCATTATCAAATAAATACTTGACTGAAGTAGGATAAAAATACTGATTTGTCTCTGAAAAACTTCAATCACTACTTTGTGTGACTCCTACCCTGGATTAGCTGTAGGTCTCTTGGAAGCTAGAGCCATGACGGCCCCTTGCCCCAAGGAGCAGCCGATTGTACAAGTCCGAGACAGACAGAGTAGGGAGAGGAATGAACAACTTTGATTTCTATGGAGAAGACAGTGATTGAACTCTTCCTTGAAAGTTTAAATTTACAGTCAGCATGTTTATTCATATAGCATGAAATATGCAATCATGCCCTTAGCTGCTAATTGTGGATACCTAAATAGTGCGTTTTTGGCTTACTGTATTATGGTCAATTTGGAAAAGAATAGTTTCATTATATAGTAATACCATCTACAGTATCCTTGGACTGTTCTGGAAGCATATGACATGTGATTACTAAGTTTTTATGACACCTAAGTATTGATGCTCCCCATAGTATTTAAAACTAATTTAACCATAGTAATCTCCTAAATTCACATTTTAATGAAGCCAAAAATCCTAATAAGCTTCAAGTGCTTAAAGCTAATGCTGCAGGAAATAGTTTATGAAATTTTTTCATTTATTAAAAAAATTAAAAATGGCTCTCTTAAGGAGCTATGTATGCATTAAGTATGGAAAGAAATGTACAGTCTATTAAAATTTAACATCATGCATGTTTATAGCTTTTTTATCTCTGAAACACTTTGATATTAACTGCTTTATGTGTGAAAAACATGAGTTTCTATCCCATCATGCTGACTAGAAACTTCTTCAGATTGTCCAGTGGCTTGAGAGAACTTGGTGTAACATTTTAAAGTGGTAGTTCCCCAAAATGTATGTTACTTAGTAAGTTTTGTACTTAAATATTACTGTTTTCACATGATTTTCATAGATAATATTTTAAAAGACTCGAATCCTCTATATTGCTAGGTTGTATTATTTTCCTCAACTATTCACAGCTTTTCCTATGGGAGGATTAGCTTTCTTAGCTCTGGCTTGCCCCTGCGCTCTTCTTTGGCTAATGTGAACATGAGTCGTAGATATATATTATCTAAGGAGAACTGTTACTTGCTATCAATTGTTCTACCACTGTTCTTTTCCCTTTTTCACAAGAACTATTCATCATGGATGGGGCTGTTCCTTCTGCTTGGCTCCTAGAAATATGTGTGGGACAGAACCACAGTCATTCTGCAGCCAGTTTATGATGTGATGTTAGCCAGAGATTCTTGAAAACAACACGATTTGAGAGTTGCTTCCTAACCACAGCAGAAACTAGCAAAAACTGACTTCTCAGACTATAATTATATCCTGTGTTGAAAGGAAAAAAGGAAGAGGCTTAGGTCTATAACTATAATTCAACTCAGCTCCACCAACCTCCACTTCAGCGTACAGTTGCTTGGGTCCAATCCATTCTTTTTTTTTTTTCCCCTTGAGAATTTGAACTAAAAGACATAGAATGTTGTGTTCAGTTATGGTGGACTTGAGTTGAAAGGTTTTGTAGAGGAAGGGTTAGAAATGGCTTTACAAGTCAAAGTTATGAGGCTGCAGGCGGTATGAGTGGAAGCTAGTATGCAAGTTATGATAACAGCATTAACTGAGAGCTCACTCTGGGCACACATCACTTTAAGCACATTCTGTCTCTTTTGACCCTCATATCCATGCTTATAAACACAGCCCATATTGAGACTTACAATTGCAATAAGCACTGAAAAGATCATGGTGCTTTGTCATCACTTCCCTAGTGCGAGCACATACCAAATATAATTTCAAATAATAACAATTAGTTGTAAAAATTACTTCTTTAGTGACTATTTTGATGCTTTTTCATACCCATTAAAATGTTTTATAATTTCATCTTGACAACCCTGCTTTGCTGGTACAATGAGTACATCCTTATTCTGTCTACAGGGTAACATATCATTACATTTGAAGTAGGTACTAATTATTATTCCACTTTATAAATAAAAGAATGGAAGCTTCAAGAGGTTAAACTGTTTGTCTATGGTCTTGTAGATTGTAAGGGTTAGAATTGGGGTTAGAATTGAGGCTCAAGCTCAATTTTATAATAGATATCAAAATCAGTGTACTCAGCCATGGCAGGAAAAAAAAATTAGCGGCTAGGCAGTTCCTGAGAGACAGCACAAACGATCTATGCTCTTTTTATTATTTTTCAGCTGCTTTGTGCCACATGTGGGATCCTAGTTCGCCAACCAGGGATTGAACCTGCACTCCCTGCAGTGAAAGCACAGAGTCTCAACCACTGGACTGCCAGGGAAGTCCCAGGATCTATGCTCTGGATTTTCCAGTTTCTAGTTCCCAAGAAGCCTGGCTATACTTAATATACTACTTTTATATGTAGGTCGGGGTTGGGGGAAGGGAAGGGACAGGGAAGCCAAGGAAAATGCCCTCATCCATTTGCTTTTAGTGTTACTCTCCATTAGAGGTATCCTTAGCAGTACTAAATTTTACTAGATTTTATAAAATGACTGTTCAGCTTTCGCCAAAGTCTTCTTTGTCAAAGGCCACAAACATGATTGCAGATAGCTAGGCTGGGGCAGATTGAATGACACCTATGCAGAATGTGTGAAAATTTGGCAAACTAAGACTTTTATTACTTGATCAAACTTATTGTGCCTGGTTCTTCTGCCTCTTAGAATATGTCCTGTCTTCTGTTGTTCCTTAGTACCTCATGTAAGAATTTCTCTTGTGTAGCGACTCAGTTTCCCGGATATAGCTTGTACATTTCTGAGCCCAAATGGTAGTGTTAAGAGTATTTATTCTCTAATCAGACTGCTCTCAATAGCATTACCTGCTAGGCATGTGACCTTGGGTAAATTACTTTTCTAAGTCTCCGTTAAAGTACCCACCACATCAGGCTGTTGGGAAGCTTGAGTGAGTGGATACATGTAAGTTTCTGGCACAGGCTGAGTGATGAATGGATGTTGACTGCTTTGTTATTTGTTGTCTACTTATAGTGCCTAGTGTACTTGTTGTTGGTGTCGAGTCACTAAGTTGTGCCCAGCTCTTCTGTGACCCCATGGACTGTAGCCCACTTGGCTCCTCTCTCCATGGGATTTCCTAGGCAGGAATACTGGATCGGGTTGCCATTTCCTTCTCCAGGGGCTCTTCTCAACTCAGGGATCGCACCCAAGTTTCCTGCATTGCAGGTGAACTCTTTACCACTGAGCCACCAGGGAAGCACTAGTGTGCTAACAGACTGACAATGCTTCGGCATAACTTTGAGGCCTAAGTTTCCAATCTGATAGTTTAGAAGCCCAGAATCTAAATTCATCAAAATGCTTTAAGCCTTTAAGGTATTTTGATTTTTCTCTTAAAAGGGAGTTGAAATATTGAAAGGATCTTTCAAGTCAAGTCTCCCCCGAAGGCCTCTGTGTTGCTCTAATTGCAGCTGGATTGACCCTGGTTAAGGCTACCCCGCATGCCTGCTTAATTTCTCAGTCATGTCTGATTCTTTGCAACCCCATGGAGAGTAGCCCACCACGCTCCTCTGTCCGTGGGATTTCCCAGGAAAGAATACTGCAGTGGGTTGCCATTTCCTTCTCCAGGGATACTGACACAGATTTTTAAGAAGAATAACGCAGCCTTACTTTCTATGTGTTAGTTGCTCAGCTGTGTCCTACTCTTTGCGACCCCTATTGGAATGGCTTGCCATTTCCTTCTCTAGAGGATCTTCCCAATCCAGGGATTTAACCCATGTCCCTTGTGTCTTCTGCATTGTCAGGTGGTTTCTTTACCATCTGAGATCATCAGGGGAGTCCAGGTTTACTTTGAGGGACTATATTTTTATAGGAATCAAAATATACTATGATCTAATTTGAAAGGTCTACAATACCACTGTTGAAACATAGTTGTTGCTGAACACTAATGAATGAGACTTGAATATATTTATTCCTAACAAGACAATGTGCTTAAGAGGTATGTGAATTGATATTAATGACAAACATGTATTAATTGTTTATTATATGCCAGACATTGTGCCAGATTCTTTCCATGTACCAACTCTTTTCATCCCCATACAATCATTTAAAATAGATATTGATGTCCTCACTTTAACAGTGAGAAGACTGAGGCTCAGAAAATGACTGGCCTTGGTCATATATCTAGGTATTATTTGTGTGAAATTCTCACTCTCAAGTTTAAGCTTCTAATCAGTATTTTATACAGATTTTTAGGACTTCTGTGGTGGCTCAGATGGTAAAGAGTTTGCCTACAATGTGGGGAGACCCGGGTTAGATCCCTGGGTTGGTAAGATCCCCTGGAGAAGGAAATGGCAACCCACTCCAGTACTCTTGCCAGGAAAATCCCATGGATGGAGGAACCTGGTGGGCTGCAGTCCATGGCGTCTGAAAGAGTCAGACAAGTTCATTCATTAGTTCAAGTCTCATTTATTAGTGTTCAGCAAACACAATGTTTCAGCAGTGGTGTTGTAGGCCTTTCAAATTAGATCATAGTATATTTTGACTCCTATAAAAATATACAGGAATGATCATAATATATTTTGATTCACATATATTTTTATAGGAATACAGATTTTAGTGCAGGGCAAAACTGAGAAGTCACTTTATTGTCACCTTTTAACAAGCTTTCCTCCTTCAGAGAACTCACTCTTATTCTTCATGTACACAGCTTCTAGTACATTTCTAGTCATTTATCTCTATTAAGAGATTTCATTTTTCATTTGCATGTGAGAACACACACTAGTGTGTTCACTCTAGCCTTTTAATCTTTTCTTCTTTGTTAATTAAAGGCTCTATTTCCTATTGAAGAAATTTAAGGCAGTATTATGCCGGAGACTTTTTTGTTGAACAAAGTAAAATCTTTTTTTTTTTTTTTTTTCACATTTTGGCCACGCTGTGAGGCATGTGGAATCTTAGTTCCCCAACCAGGGATTGAACCTGTGCCCCCTGCGGTGGAAGTGTGTAGTCTCAACTGTTGGACTGCCAGGTAAGTCCCAAACTAAAATTCTTATCTCTAAAATCATGAGATTCCTGAGGTTAAGTCTAAAAGCTGACCTGCTAGTGTTACATTATTTGGATTATTTGGATCCTAGGAAAAAAATAGTGGAATTCTTGGTTCTGTTGCATTCTTTCTTCTGGCTCTGCTTCTGATAAGCTCTGTGAAATTGGCCAAGCCACCTACCCTACTTACATCTCAGATTCCTCATTTACCTTTTATCCTATGCCTTCATATTTTGGTACTTCTATAGCATGATCTCTCTCTGAACACAATATTTAAAAATCAAAAGGGTCAATACTTTCAATAATCAAGCTTATTTTATTAAGCAAAGAGACAGTGTTGAGGACTAAAATTGCATTGCATGCATCTTATGCACACCTCTAACTTACTTTAGAGTCTAATTTATTGTGTTTATTTCTTATTGTAGGGAAATAGTTTTTGTAAGAACTATTCTGTTCTATTGTTTCCTTTCTTTTTTCCTCACCCAATATTCTATGAACATTACTCTTGAAATGCTTGATCTAAGTTGACAAGTGCTTATTTTCCTTCCTGAAACAAAAGTCCATTAACTCTTCAAAAGGTTTCATGCCATAAGATTTCCATTAGTCCAGATATTCTCTCTAATTTAGATTGACAGGCTTCCCACTCCATCAAACACTTGGTAAAATAGTGTGATGTTTGTGTCTTCAGAAAAGCCTTGCACAAAAAGTATAAAGCAATACATATATAAATTTCACTTCTAGACTAACAAAAACCAAAAACAAGGAAAATGAAATTATGTGTTCTTTCAGTAATTAATTTATTCATGAATTAAATATTTATTAGAAAAAAATTTTTGACATGTACACACTGCTAAAGTTGGCTTAAAGCTCAACATTCAAAAACTTAAGATCATGGCATCTGGTCCCATCACTTCATGGCAAATAGATGAGGAAAAAGTAGAAACCGTGACAGATTTTATTCTCTTGGGCTTCAAAATCACTGTAGTCAGTGACTGTAGCCATGAAATTAAAAGATGCTTGCTCCTTGAAAGAAAAACTATGACAAACCTAGACAGCATATTAAAAGGCAGAAATATCACTTTGCTGACAAAGGTCTGTATAGTCGAAGCTATTGTTTTTCAGTAGTCATGTATGGATGTGAGAATTGATTTGATGCTTTTGAACTGTGGTGCTGGAGAAGACTCTTGAGAGTCCCTTGAATAGCAAGATCAAACCAAACAATCCTAAAGGAAATCAACCCTGAATATTCTTTGGAAGGACTGATGCTGAAGCTGAAGCTCCAATACTTTGACCACCTGATGCGAAGAGCTGACTCTTTGAAAAAGACCCTGATGCTGGGAAAGATCGAGGTCAAGAGGAAAAGGGGGCAGCAGAAGATGAGATGGTTAGATAGCAACTCAATGGACATGAGTTTGAGCAAACTCCAGGAGATGGCGAAGGACAGGAAAACCTGGTGTGCTGCAGTTCATGGGATTGCAAAGAGTCAGACACAACTTAGCGACTGAATAACAACAACGACAACACGCTGCCATATTTATATTTATTAATTATTTTGGGGACTTCCCTGATGGGTTAGACGGTAAAGAATCTGCCTTACAATGCAGGAGACCTGAGTATTTTTGGCTGTGCCGGGTCTTCATTATTGCACATGGGCTTTCTCTGGTTGCAGAGAGCAGGAGCTACTCTCTAGTTGTGGTGCACGGGCTTCTCATTGCTGTGGCTTCTCTGTTGTGGAGCATAGGCTCTAGGTGTGTGGGCTTCAGTAGTTGTGACGCAGGTGCTCATTAGTTGTTGCTCAAGGGCCCTAGGGCATGCAGGCTTCAGTAGTTGTGGTGCTCAGGCTTTGTTGCTCCGCGGCGTGTGATATCTTCCCAGACCAGGAATGGAACCGTGTTCCCTGCATTAGCAGGTGGGTTCTTACCCCTGTGCCACCAGGGAAATCCGAATTCAGCCTTTATTGAGCGCCCACTATGAGTGGGACACTGGTGCTGAAAGACTCAGATCATCTTTTATAACATTCGAATGTATGTAATTTTTACATGGCTTTGCTGGTAGTTATAGAGATGTTTTCATCAGGATTAAAAAATGAAAAGTTTATGAAAGTAGTTGGAGATAATATTCTCTCCTGGTACTGCAGTCTCATTCTACACCTCACTCTTCAAGGCCTCACCTTCCACACGCATGGAAGTTTATCAGAGCATTTTCCTAAATGAAGACAGTTTTCTAAAT